TAATTTTATAGCAACACTTTAAAAATAGGAATTATGTTAGGAACTCTACAAACCTCAGGCATCTGCTCACTGTCTATTAATCAATCAAAAATGAATGAGGGAGGTTCATATATTTGACTTTTCACCTCTTTAAAACTAGGAAGAACATTTTCTAATCCTGGTGCTTTATGTATTTTTAATCTCCCAGTCATTCTACTTCTCATAAATGACTTAGGATCTACACAATTCAGTTTATTTCAGTATTTTTTATAGAATGTTAAGGGCAATGATTTGGTTATCATACTCTCTCTTAAAAACATAAGAGAACATTTAAAAGCTCAGCCATCTCATAGACATTCAAGAGAAACCTTGTCACCAGTATCCTTTAAAGGCCAAATCCACATTTTAACATTTTCCATGTCTTTAACATACTTTAACGAAGCAACTAAGTTTAACAGCTGTTTGTTGAAAGGCCTTTTTGATTTCCTAATTGATTTTTTAAGAAAATCCTTAGCTTTCATCTACTTCTATAAGTTTTCTACCTTATCTGTGCATTAAAACTTTTAGTATGTTTTGTTGATTTTCTTTATGCCCGTAGCTAGTGTGACAAGATTTTCAAATAATAATATTGGAAACATATATTTCCAGATCTTCAAACTGCAATTCCTTCTTTTTTGGGTGAAGGGGAAGGATTATAACAGTAAATTATGCACATTTCTTTGCTTACATTATCATCGATACTGATACCTCTAACAAGTGAATGTTTCTGAGCAAATTCTTGTTGACTAGGAGATTTTTTTTTGTGAAATCTTCTCTCATGTTCACTCTTGAATTGCTTTAAAATTATTATTTCATGACTTCAAAATTGAATATTGTCTCAGAAAAGCATCTGCTATTTGCATTCAGCTTACTCTCTGTGTTATGGTGATTGCAAAATCACATGTTCAGTGATGTATGCAGTAGTTACATCATGTTGTCTAGTACAGTCTACCATATAGGCAACTTCAAAGGCTATGCTGAGTCATTCCAAGCTGTATGATAACTTACCTATTCACTTTGAAAAATTTGTCTGTTGATTCATGATTATCAGAAACTTAAAGTACTGAATACAATATTAGAAAAACTTACAAGTTTCAATTAAAATTAAAAACAGGGACATTCAGCTGTCCCACAAAGGATGCATTGTGGCACCAGGATAACAGTGTAAAAGCTGGGATTGTCTTGGCTAAACTGGGACATCTAGTTACACTGTTCTTAACAAGCTAATTAGTTTTGATCTTATCTTTTGTATGTTACCTTTTTCTTCTTTTTTAAGGACATCCTGTATTGAATTCAAACCAATTTATTTTTCTAATTTTTCAGAGCTGTCCATTTTACTTCATTATCCCAATTATTATTGATAAATCTTATATTGTTGCTTCAAAATTGGCTTTATGAAAATTTTAAACCAGTATCTTTTTTCAGGATTACCTTGATCTCATTTTACAGTTTCTGATTGGCATCATCTATTTGTTTGTGAGGCCTCTAACAGTTGCCAGTTGAATACTTTTTAGACTAGAAACCCCTGCTTGCACCCATATACATATTAATATACCTCTTAACTATTATGTTTTATGTCTGGAGTGTCCAAACATTAAAATTATAGCAAATAAGCTTAATCTTTAATTTACTATGCTTATCTTTAAACTTGCCAACTGATCTTTAAAAGTATTAATTAACTTACTACTCCCTAAATCTTATTTTTTCAATCTCCTCTTTTCCCTAGCTAGAAATTCTTTAGAGCTTCCCCAAACATAATGTTACTTAGCTTGCTTAATTGGAGCCAATCTCTAGCATACATTTCATTTATAGTCTGATAAGTGTCATACTTCTCTAAAACGTGTTTCTCTAAACACATCCCTAATAATATTTTATCTAAGCCTTTGAACCTTGCTGAGTAATTTATTTCTGCACCTAGCCTAAGGAAACATACCTGAAAGATTCCCACGTTTCATTCTTTCTATAAGCCTCTAAAACAATTCTTCAGGCTATGTTACTCGCCTCTCCACAGAAAAAATATCTAACACCTTGACAATAATGCTGAAGGGTTTTAGTACATGCACCAAGTCTTTAAATGAGCTTTCACTCTTAAACGTATTAATGTGAACCGTGTTAGTCTATGATGCAATCAGCATTAGATTATATCATGGTTGCAGTTATAAATATGTAACCAATTAGCTAATTTATTTATGTACCCTTTTTGAATAGGATAAACATAGAAATAATATTCAATAAAGATTTGAGTCATCTGAATATTTTGAAATCACCTATCATACTAAACAGTAAGCTCAGCTGATTTGATGATGATTTTATTTGGTGAACATAATTTTTGAAAACTCTTGTTCACAAACATTGCAACTCAGTAAATCCATAGTATATGTATTAAAACATAAAAACTGTATTTTTAAACAAAAAACATCAGCAAGATACTTTTATTAAGTTGTATACAATCTCCATTCATCTGATATTTTTTGTTTCATGAATATGTATATATATACATGTATATATATATATATTCCTGCATATAGGTAAAATACTTATACCTCATGATGACAAACTTCCCCAAAGTGTGTACATTTGTTACTGTGTTTGTTCATTGTAAAGCATAGAACTACAGAAGGGACTATCTGTTATCTGCCCACTACAGGTATTGAAAGCAAATTTTTTTGTTTTAAACCTAATGACTTGCCACAGCCACTGTTGGGGGCGGGAGGACTTCTGTGTTAAATTTGTAATAAAGTTTTCTTTGCTACCCATTCAACTCATCTCTAAACTGTACAAGCTTATCTTATCTCAAGTTATCTGATGTCTTATCGAATAAATTTTCTTTACCTTTCAAATGAATACAAGTTAACACAAATATTTTGACAATTCACAATGAAAGGAAAATTTAGAGAAACTATGAAAAACTTTAAAATCAATTTATGTGATATACTGTTACTTGTTATTCTAATTCCTGCTATATCCAATCATATTTAATTTTTATAGCTGTTTTCAAAGCTATTCAGTAAGTAAATGATCAAACTACTGATGTGGAAAGATAAGGTTTCAATCAAGGCTTTTAAAAACTAAAATAAACTTGAAAATCAAGAATTGGATAATGTATATCTAAAAAGGTGATAGGTTCTTAGCAAAAATAGTTGTTCTTTGGGATGGACAAAAAAATTGACAACTTTAGTTTGGATTGTTGTATTTCGAGGCAAAATTCTTTAGAAATGAAAATTTCAACCTTTTATTTAAATAAATGTCTTAAAATGACAAAATATTTAATCTAAAATATCTGTGAGTTAAAATTGTTTCAATACTAGAATTAACTTATAAAATTGTCCTAAAACTTGTGGCAAATATATATGTATATGAAATGTTAGAGGAAACCCTGTCTTTAGATACAATAGTTTAGGAGTAAGTTGCTTTGTTTATCCTAAACTGTTGTACATAAAAATGTATCATAAATGCAAAGTTGTACAAAACCTATAACACCTTAAAATATAATTAGTTGTGCTGTGTGGCTTCCTCCCTCCAGTAGTTCTGCAGACTTACAACACTAGAAACCGGGTTTCAATACCCGTGGTTGGCAGAGCACAAATAGCCCTTGTATAGCTTTGTGCATAATTAAAAACAAACAAACAAACCCTCCATTAGTACAAATATCTCCATTACTACTGTGCTAAAACTACTGAATTTTTGTTGATGTAAATAAACATATTACTTCATATTATTTTCAAACAAATTTTTTTTTTAATTGATAAATTTTATTATCCTAAAAACATCACCAATAAAATATGTATAAAAAACACGACTAGTTTCAGGGCTTACATCATGTTTCAGTTAGTTGAGTGCTTCTGTCATTGTTGTAAATAAAATTATTGTTCAAAACATGTGCAAGATTGAATATATAAAATTTACTGTACAATACTGACATTCATATGATAAATAAAATGAAGAAATGTAAAAGCTCGCTAGATAAAGATTTTATGTTAAATATTTTCCAAACAAATGATTCATGGTGTTTGAAATTATGTGAAATATGATTAGAGATCTATATTCTGAGAAACTGTTACTCAGAACAGGGATGGATTTATTAGGCTGTTGTAAAGGTATTGGGGGGGGGGGGATGAAGAAGACCTCTGCTAGCATTACTGATAAATTTACATTACTTCTGTTATTGATTTTACATATAACTATACAGTGTTAGTAACTGTAGTAATAACATTAATTCAAAAGCCTACAAAACTCATTATCATTAGCTCAGTCAGGCTATAATTCAGCAACTTAAAAGCTTGTATATTTATTTCTAGTAGTGTGATAAATATGAAAATAAAACAAATTAATGACAAACAATTCAACTTTTGTAATTATAATCCAGTAATTATATTTAGAAAAAATATAAAGTGTACACCTAAATTAATATTTTAACATTTGTCGACAGTATGTTTCTTTTCCAATTTTATTTCATTATTGTCATTTATAGTTTCATGGCAACAATAATCCTAAACATGCAGCAAATGTGGTGGAATGATAACTAGAAAGAAAAAGAGCATGATGAAACACTTCTAATCAATGATTGATCTGCACTAATTACTGATAAGAATATTATCGAGCTTGTATTGGCATGGCATATATGAAACTAGAGTATGTTAATCCTTTCAGTGAATGGGTTAATAACAAACAAATAAGTTGAGTGAGATGGGAATTTGTACAGAACATAGAGTACTTCACAGTCAGGCACTAGTAGGAAAAAAAAATAGTAGTGCTTGTCTAACTTATTTGTTTTCTTTAATATTTTGTGTAATAATGAATTGTACTAATGATAAATTGACCATTTAGTTGAAATTACTTGTTATTTCTGTCAATTGAATGTGTTTTAATTCTGCAATTCTGTATTTTTTCTGATGCTTTATAATTTTCAGTTTGATGTTTATTGGTATACAAACAATTGTAATGTGGCTATGACTATAGTTTTAGTATCTATCATTTTTTAGAGTGAACATGTTCTTATGATTGGTGATGGGGCTCATAAGTTTGCTGATGAAGTTGGAATGCCAGCTACAAAACCAGAAGCACTTGTTACAGAATATGCTTGTGAAAGACTAAATTATTTTAAATCATTCATGACTGCTGTAAATTCTGGGATGGGAAAGAGGTAATACCTTTATAAAACATCGATTTATTTAACATATTTTTCTGGAAAGTAAATATTCCTGTATTTTAAATGTTTAAAATATAAATATTTTGTTCAAAAACATTATTTGGTCATTTTTAACCCCTTTTTTATTGGGTAGGTCAAAGTGTGTATGTCACAACCTTTTGTAATTACATTCAAAACTTAATTAAACTACTTTATTATCAATATATATGAATAATTTTGGTATAACAATGTAGCTAATAAATCAAATTTTAATATTATTTAATTGAATAAATACAGAATTTAACATAAATTACTCATTATAGTATTTTTATTGAGTTGGCAAAACATAATTGTTATACCATTCAATCTTATTTGGTTACAGAGCCATTAACAAAAAAATCATACCCTCTTGCCACACCCACCTGTCACATTCTCCTTCACAAATTACTTATAGTTCTCTCTGGCATTTAATGCTATATTATTTATAACGAATAGGAAGCCAAAGTTTAAATCTGTCAAATGACATATTATTACATTGTTTTCTGTTCAGAAAACAATATTCTATTTCACTTCCACTTCATACTTTATTCCCATGGGAAACACTTCAAGGAGTTTAGCTAAATTTATAAGGGCTTTTATCCCATAGTTAGAAATCCAGACAGTTTATGATAGTTATCGGATATTGTTTACTATTTATATGCTATTATTCTGTGTTCTTAGATGTAGTACTTAATTAAATAACAAAATTATTTATTGTGGTAGTACCATTAATATATATATCCTTGTCCCACTAAACATGCTCACCCTTTCAGATGTGGAGGTGTTATAATGTGATAGTCAATTCCACTATTTGTTGGTAAAAAACGTAGCTCAAGTGGGTGGTGATGACTAGCTGCTTTCCATCTAGTCTTTCACTATTAAATTAGGGATGGCTAGCACAGATAGGCCTCTTTTAGTTTTGTGTGAAATTCACAACAAACCAAACCATTAATATAAAAAAAAGTAGGTTTAAGTTTCATTGACAGTGAACAGCAAAAAAAAAAACAAGAAGACCCAGGTAAGTACTATATTTCTTGTTTTTCTTGTGTATTCTTTATTTGTTATTATAAGAGTAACTAAAATGTCAAATTAGAAACTTGTTAGGTTAGATTAATTAAAAATAAAGAAAAATAGTAATAAAAAACTTTTTCAGGAAGTGTGCTTATGAGTAGCCTGTGCTTTACATAATATGATAGGGTAACATGAACTTCTCATTCTCTGAATGATTTACTACTTTTGTGGTGTTATTATTAGTTAAACACATTTCAACAGACAGTAAAACAATAGAATTTAAGTAAATACTTATGTATATTGTTACAAGCTTTAAGTTATTTAGGATAAACAATTGTTGTTTCCAGTTACAATTTGTAGTCATTCCCGGAAGAAAATAGGGTCATTTAAGACTATTTACTAACTTTATGGTGGTTACAAGGCTGGTCAAATCAACCAACTCTGTATAGTTATAGTATAGAGCAGAGACCTCCAAACCTTTTTGGACAAGGGCCAAGAGGTAGATCTTTTTAGGCTTCGCAGGCTGGAGGGATCATGGTAAAATTAAGTAGGGATGGATACGTGATCAGATTCGCTTTTGCTCAATTACGTTTTATTTTTTGTTTTTATAATATTAAAAAATTATATTATTACTTTAATAAACTGTTGGCGGGCTGGATAAGCCAAAGTTGAAGGCCACAGTTTGGAGACCCCTGGTATAGAGTATAGCAGATAAAATAGTTTTTCTGAAAAAAAAATTAATATGTAGTTAGTAGATTTTAGGGACTATGAAAAGGAAATTTGAAAACCTTCAGATGAAAAAAATATTATTAATCTTAACATGAAAATCACTTTGCACTCAAAGAAATCAACACTGACATCATATAATTAAGGACAAAGTTTTAGTAAAAATACTTAATCAAAAATTTGGATTTTTATTCTACAAAAAACTTGATTTTTACTCAAAGCTTGTCAAATTTCATGAAGATACATTAAGTACTTTCACTTTTAGAGTCATAATGGTTACAAGGTTGTGTAAAAATATACAAGTCCATTGTGATAGGATTAAGCTATTAGCCTTTCTAAAATAAAGTCTTGCAGTATAAATATATAAAAACATATTTCATTTTGCAGAACACTTGTGCAAAAAATATTTAGACACTTCTTGAAAACATTCCTACCCAGTGTGTTTTTCTAGAAAACTCATTGCCTACATACATGGGCACACCAGTAGGTAGATTAGTAATGTTAAAATGTTTGCAAAATGACTGAAAATTCGTTTTCTAAGAAATTTTTAGTGACTTTACTAAATGTATGTGAGCAAGCACTTTGTAGTACATTCTCCATGAATGCGAGTTATTTGGAAAGTCTGAGATACGTAGACTATGAATCACTCCTAGAATATTTGGCTTACTTCTTTAACATTACAATGTTAACAAATGGTTGTGAATTTTGTCTTATAATGAGAATTAGCTGCTTTACTCAGTTTTAAAGTGACCATTGAATATGGATTTAGTGGTATACAGGTGAATGGTTTGATCATCACAGTTTACCTAACTCCATGGTTCTTTAGTAGCAGTGTTACGATGTGGAATATGTTCTGTGCATTGGGCATACCTGTAAAGTGTATACTCTTATTATAAACAAGCATACGTATATTAAGAAATCTTAAATTAATGCATTCCTTAGAGTATAGCAAAATAATAACCACCTCTACAGGTGAGTAGAAACCATAAGATCAGTCTAAAACAATAGAAAAACAAATAGAATTGGGGAATAACTGAGTTTATAAACTATTGAAAACATTTACAGTTGAGGGTACTATCTGTGATTATTATCAATTCTAAAATTTACCATCGATGCATTGCTATCAGGGCATTCATAATTGCAATATATCAACAGTTTGATGTATCTTTACACTCCTAGTTGTTGTATGCATTTTTTAAGCACTATGCAAACATCTATGTGGAAAAATAGCCATTTTCACAGTGTGCAATCAGTAACCACACCTGTTAGTATTATAGTGTATCAGTGATAGTATACTTGTAACTGATACGTGTAAAATAAGAAGTGACATATATATCTTAAAATATTCTGCATATTTTATGCAAATATGCTAGCTATCTGAAGAACTGCATATTTATATTTTTTGTGTGCAATAACTTCAGTTATTCTGCTATATTTTTTCAGCTCTGACCATGATACAGTAGGAGCTGTTGCTGTAGATTCTGCAGGTCATGTTGCTTGTGCAACTTCTACTGGTGGCATTACTGCTAAACAGGAAGGTCGTGTTGGGGATTCTCCATGTGTTGGGTCTGGAGGTTTTGCTGATGACTTTATTGGAGCAGTATCTACAACTGGTCATGGGGAGGCCATTATGAGAGTATGTTTAGCTCGACATATTACAGGACTGATGCAACAAGGTACAGAAACATGAGAAATTAAAGATTAATTGGGAAGTGTAGAATCTAGGGCATATTGTTCTCTTACATTGACTTTTGGAAACAGTTGTTTTATAATTAGACAATAACAGTGTTTTCAAAACAAAATGCAGCTTGTTAGTCTTTAAAAATTAAAACTTCTTTACTTTTATTTTCAAAAATCTTTTAAATCAAAAATACATATATAAAATGTTACTTTTGCCACACTTGGCATGATGCAGATAGCAGGGGCATTTTAGAAATAACTAAAAAGTAAAAGAAACTTTACATGCAAAGTAACATGTAATATATGTGTATATTGCTTATGTCTTTCTTTTATCTTTAAACACACTTGTACTTTGCTCCATTCAGCTATTTTACATTTTGTTCTTTGTTCATTCATGTTGAAGTTTTTTCTGATCTGTATTAAGTTTTACTACAAATCAGAAAGTGAGTGAAATATTTAATGAAAGTTTAAACAGATATCATTGTTGTTAACCAAATGTTAATATGAGAAAAGTGAACTGTGTAGTTGATTTATGGTCATGTCATTGTCAATAGAAAACTACTTTTAATGTTTATATTAGTATAACTGAAATTTACGTAAGTTATAAGTATACAAATTTCAAATTATATGTCATTTATTGCTGAGTGAAATTCAACATACATATTACAGCTGAGTGGTTTTACAATGTTGAAGTAATAATTACAGTATATTTGTAGGTTAAACAGTATGTTCTACTTTCATAAATATCTTATGTATTTTCTGTTTAATAACAGAACTTTGAATAAAAAAAACTTACGTAATGGAACATAATGAACCAAACAATATACTGGGCTTCATATTTATTTTTTATTTTTTTTATAAGTTTGAAGAAGTGTGTGAACTGCAAATATTTAGTTTTTATTACACAACTTGCATTTTCTTTTTAGCTGAAAAGAGATGTCTAGGACATTATGTAATTTGTAATTGTGTTACCCATGTACATGTTTACTGTTTTATCCTAAGCTTTGTTACTGTTATTTAATTTTTAAAATTACAGGAATGAAAGCTCAAGAAGCAGCAGTGGCAGGATTAGAGTACATGAAAAATCGTGTCCAGGGATATGGTGGTGTAGTAGTAGTTAGCAATAAAGGAGATATTGGTGTTCACTTCACCACAGAATGTATGGCATGGGCTTATAGGAAAGGAAGTGTTGTACACTATGGAATACAACCTGATGATGATTTAACGGAAGATGGATCATCTGATAGTTCGCCTCTGTGATGTAAAATGTTTGGTTACAAGTTACTTTTTGTGAGGAAACAAAAGAGTAGCTGTGGTTATATTTAGAAAATAACTTATTACTAAATATTCAGAAACTTTTTTGGAGATAACATGAATATGTATTCAGTATGAAATAATTCTGCAGCTTAATTTTTTTTGTCCATTATATATTTTATTCAATAAACTATTCCACTAATTTCCTTAAATTGTGCCACTTGAAATGCGTTACTGTGAACATTTATATAGTGTGTAAAAAAAAGGTTATAAAGTTTTTGATATAACTAAAATCTTTTTATGAGAACATTTTTAGGTGATACCAGCTTTATTACTTTGCTTAAAATTCTTCATTAAAAGTATTAGGATAATAACATGCTTATTAAATATTGATCTCTTACACTAACTCTGTAATTACCAATGGGGTCCATGTTGATAGTATTTTTTGTTTACATATTTTGAGTGTCTCATCATCTTTTCTAAACTATTTACAAATGAAATTGCATGCATGTCCATGACTGTTGGTTACAGAGTCTGTAGTAACATATGTGGGTTTAAAAAACAATAACAATATTACCATCAGTATTGCAGTTAAACCTACTAATTACAAATGATGTTACTTGTATATCTTATATAGAAAATGAATGGTTTCATCTAATGTTTTTGATCAGTTCTTTACACTGACTATTGTAACAGACAAGCACATAAAATTATTTAATATGAAACAGATCACTAAGTAGCATTTGAAGGTTAGAACAGATTTAAGTACAAACAAAATAACAAGTATAGCTTTTTGAGAGTAGTAGTTCAATCCTGATACTGTAAAATATTTCTTTTTTATGAATTACATTGTACAATTACTCTTTCCAGGGTTTTACTCTTAACTAAGAACAAAATTCCAAGACTTCTGAAAAATGTTCCAAGATTGAATTTTCTATTTGTTGCTTCCGAAAGCATCAGTTACTTAAAAGTTTAATGTTACCTCTCAATTTTCATAATAAGTATTCACTGAAACCTACAAAATTTGCCCCATGGTTATGAAATGGATATAAAATGATAAACTAAACTTGAATGTTAGATTTCTTTAAATTACTAGAACTAATAAACATATAAATCTTTATATTAAAACAACTCACCAGTAAACTTTTAAAATATAAACATTGCAATGTCATGAGATAATATACATGATAACCATATGTGGTATTCAGGTTCACTGATGTCTGACAGAAAGGCTAAGTGTTTCAGCAACAACTCAAGTTCTGGACTGATAAGAAAAGAATAAATTGAACACAGACAGTAATAGAAAAAGAGCAAGCAAAAGTGTACTTTGAAACAAAATTATTCAACAGTAATATAGTGCAATGTTGCTGAAAATGCATGTGTGGGGTAGAAAGTTTAAAGACAACTACAAAATAGAAGCGAAAGTCAAGAAACAGAACTCAGGAAATATTCTATTTATATACCCAGGCAAAACAAGGCTTGATTATTTTAATGCTATAACAAACAGCTTGTATATGTTCCTGAATAGTGAAGTCCTTGAAGTCCATACAGAAATGCACACATGCTAGTTTAAGACTAAGAAATACACAGCTGAGGACATACTGCATTAGAGGTTGCAGTTTGTAGCCTCTACATATTGAAAAGGATTAGCAAATGTTTACAAGAATATCATAACCTACATACAGAAACTGCATGAAAACTTAGAAAAATATTATTCATGTGGTATTTGGATATACCATGGGTTTCTATCTTCTTGCAGTATTACAACATTTATAATTAATTCATTCTTTGTGCAAGTTTCACATAACGTGGTTGATAACAATGTGAAGTTGATCTTATTTCAAGTTTCCTTTGTTGTTCTTAAAAGATAATACCTGTTACCACCTGGAGGGAACATTGCTTAACTCTTTTTGCTACTGACTATGGATTACACTGACCAATGACCTCAAATTTACCATTGGAGTTTCCATACTATAACTTTTAAAATGTTTTGTGTACTGTCACAAAATTTTTTAATCTTTTAATAAACACTACTACCATTTTTTGTAGACAAAAAATCAGAATTTTTTATTAAAGTATTGTTAAGAAAAATTGGTCTGTTAATATGTGGAATTGGAGTGTCAACTGCTCATGATTTTCATGTTTGATTCAAAATACTTTTCTTCATCTAAAAATTTTCAGACTTCATTTGCATAATATCTGAAACCTTCTAAATAAATATCAAATGTTATTTTTCAAAAAACTATATTTTTATGTTATTTTCTTTATCTTAACTTCCTATGGGCTTGGTCACTTTGACTCATAATCACCATAAAATTTCAATGGTTGAAAAATGCGAAATAAAATGAGTAGTACTGTTCTATCCCCTTTAGCATTAACCAAGCCCATAGCCACGTCTGGAAATTGGGTTCTTTTTGGTCCAAAACGGAACTGGTTTTATGTGTAACATGAGTACCTAGGGACAAAGAAAATTTTTGAAATATGTAATGGTTTTTTTATCACCACTTTCTAAATGTCTAAAGCTTAAGTTTCTAATTTGTTAACCACTATAGATGTTGTGTGGTAGGTGTAAAAAATGAAAAATAAACCGAGACAAGAAACATACCATATGACACAAAATGGCATATTTATAATTTATTTTAAATATTTTCATTTGAATTAAGAAATTAAAATTTGAATTGTAAACTGTATTGTGATAATTTTATTGACAAGCAATGATAATACAGATGTTTGATTAAATTTTGAAAAATATCTTTAAAATGTCATGACATGCACCCTTTGACCTGTCCATTGAGAGAGGGTTAATATGACATGTGCAAGAATGTTGACAAAAGTTTTTCAGTGGTTGTTCAAGTGATGTATATAGTTTACAGCACTACCTATGTTTGAATGAAAATGGCCAGTCACATCAGTAGCACAAGTCACTCTGGATAAATGTAATTGTTATTTTTAATTAAAGGAACCTTGAAAATTTAGATTTGGCCAACCTGATAAAAGATCTCAACTGAGTAGTCTGAAGGAAGAATCAGTAAAAGTGACAGTTCAACATATTCAAACAACCAAGCAGCTACACACACTGTATTTGTATTTCATTGTATAATAGAAATAGTTTATTTTATATTTGACTTTGTGTCCAAATTATTTCATTTTCATCAATCCAGTCAGTAAGTTTTACTACTACTCCATAATCAATATCTTGATCTCCAGTTATCAAGTGGACCTATGTGGTGTACCATTAGTGTTAATTCAATTTTATCCAGACTTACCACAGAGACAATAGGTAAATTAAAATAGGACAATTTTGATGCCTTGGCCAGGTTTCAAACCTGGGTTATAGTGGAATTTGCTGTAGCTGATAAAGTGTGTACTGCCTTTTACTCCTTTTTTTTGTTGTTGTTTGATTTAAGTTTATAAAGACATCTTATATGGGAAATGACATTTTCCATGACAAGAAGGACTCGCAACCAGAGCTTAGTCATCACTAGTAGTAATTGTCAGAAAGAAGAAAAGGATACTCAGAGTCTTGATTTTAAACATATGGATGTCGTAACTCTTTTTAACACCAAGCCATTACTACGAGCAGGCATATGTCTAGATGCATTGATATGGACTCGTTTGTTCAGTACTTTAGATCTGCCATCTAGACATTGGCAAGTCAAACTTCATAAAACTGCTCATAATATGAGAGATGGTTTGTATGAATTTAGTATCATGCTTTGTGGCATATGTAATGTATTCACCACTTTAAAGAGGCTGAAGGAGTTTACACTTATAGGGCTATAATGGGGAATATGTCTGATCTATGTCAATGTTTGGTCACGTGTTTGAGTCCGTGGCTGAGAAACTGACAGTATTCCAGCATATATAAAATACAAGCTTGAAATTGAAATCCAAAAATTTTGTGTTCATGCACAAAGAAATGGAATTTTATGATCATAGTATAGAAAGGAAGCTTTGCGGTTCCTGCTAAAATATCACTGGTGTGGGATTGGCTTCAAACTTTGACCAAATGAGACTTATACAGTTTTATGAGTTATTACTGACAGCTTTCTGAACAACTTCTCAGAGATCATCTCACCATTATTGGCTCTAACTTGGGTAGAGACATACTTCAGATGGAGTGAGGAATGCAATCAAGTCTCTGAAGCATGCTTATTAGAAGTACCACTGTTAGTACATCAAAGACAGGATTGTGAATTCCTGCTAGACACTGACATTAGTAATAGTGGAGTCAGAGCAGTTACAGTTGTCTTCATAAAATGCTTTTGGCACTACTTATATGATAGAAAGTTCACTGTTCCAGTGGACTATGCAATGCTGAAATGGTTGATGAATTTTAATAAAAAGCACATATGGGTGATAGCATGTTGGATTTAATTGTACATTTTTGCATGGGTCTATACCACAGAAAGGCATTATAGACTATCTTTCCAGATGGTGAGATCTAGATACTGGACATTTTGTGGGAGTCGAGACTATTTCTGCTCTAACAACAATAAGCCATATTGTAGGAGATTCCACTAGAGGTTGGATGCTACTATTAGTACTTCAGAAGCTCAGTAAAGAGCAACTGAAAGACCAAAATCTAGCATTCCTTGCCATTCAAGAATGTGAAGCATGTTTGACTCGGACTGAAACATGTAGCATAGGTGCACATAAACTATGGCAGTTGCACACCCAATGATGAATGGAGGAACATGTCCTGTACCACTCTTATCAATTCCAAGCAGCAATTCTCAAACTGTGTTGCAGTTAGTAGTCCCCAGATATTTGAGGCACAAGATTCTCAGACTTTGCATAACATAAAGACTGGAGAGCATCAGAGTGTGGTGATTCTGAACATATCTGAATTGAGACATTGGTTTGAATACCATATAGTGTGATACCCAGGGAAAAGTCAACCTAAATGGGGTAAATTCCACAAATTATGGTTGGTTCTTCTCTCCAGAGAATAATTCTGGATATTACTGATCTACTCCCAGAGGTGAAAAAGAGGTCATCTCTATACATCTGTGGTTATTGACCATTGCCTGCTTCACAAAGTGGGCTGAGGCTTGTACATTGGAATGTATGTTTGCACAGCCTATGGATAATATGCTTCCAGAGCACTAAAATTGCATGGTTTGGAGTACCTGAAGAGATCCACATAAATTAGGTGGCTAATTTTAACAACTGCATGTCCTCTAATTTGTATAACGTGTGGTGAAGATGC